GTAATGGAAAGAAGAAAAAAAAGCTTTTTTTTTTTTGGTTGGGGGGACCATCACAAGTTTGAAGATAGAACCTACTGCTTAGTAGCTATGGAATTTGTGGCAGATCAATAAAAATATATTAGTCATAGTCTGCTCATGTGCAAACAAAAATAATGACTGCTATCTACTGAGTGCCCATTGCATGCCAGTGCTCATCTATCTTCTTTATGTGTATTAACCCATGTAATCCCCAACCTATGAAAAAAAGCTACAATCGTCTGCACCGTACTGAGCAGCAGCAGCTTAAGTAACTTGTCCAAGAAAACCAACATAGGAAGTGGCAAGGATGAAGGAAGTAAATGAGTAGTGAATATTAATAAGTTTAACACATCTTATTAATAAGTTTCAAACATGTTATTTACTAGTAAAATACTAAAGAACAAGCAGGACCCTAGTTTATGGATTGCCCATGAACCAAGGAGCAATGCTTATTGTAATACAACACTGTTGACTGGGATATATAAGAAATACACAGCACCCCAAATCCTGAGCAGCTGCTGTTTAGGAACACAGAAGAAATGCCAGACGGACATATGTAGCAATGGTGACTAACTGTGCAGCACACTATACTTATGACAGACACATTATGAAACAAAAATTAGACACTATTGGGTGGAAAGTCAAGTGAGTGTTAAGACAATATATCACCTACTTGAGAGTGCAGAAATTAGAGCAGCTGTTAGCAGGAGTTAGGGAAAATCTCCTGGAGATGGGAAGACATGAAATAAACATTGACAGAGGATGGTCAAAGAGAAAGGGCTTAATCTAACATGCAGAGAGTGGTACTGGAAAGGAGAATGACGTATTTGAAAAGCTACAGGGAGTCCTGTCTGACTAAAGCAGAGGCTTAATGGTGCCCATTTACTCTGTTCTACAAGACTTCTTGTAGAAGTGCTCTAGGGTAAAGTGGTCTTGCTTGGCTGAAAAGGGTAGCAACTTGAGTTGAATGAGAGAGAGAGAATGAGAGAGAATGAGAGAGAGAGAGATTCAATTTGCTTCTCAATAGATTAACTACCTTGGTCAATTATTTGTCAGTAGCTTCCTGTAGCCACTAGTCACTGAAATTCTAAGACCATATCATGCACCTTTACAAGACAGAATAATTTGTTTTATCTAAATTTTAAGCCTTTTAATATAACTCCAAAGACATACATTCCTACATTTTGGAAAATAATGCTAGAAAACTAAAGGGAGAAAAGAAACTTCAAACAAGTGAGAAATAATTGGCTGAGAACACATTTTTTTCTGGTTTTTTTTTTTTTTTTCAGTTTAAAGAACTAAAATTGGTCAGCAAATCCATGGCAGTGTTCAACTTTACTTATTAAAAATTAAGAAATTATTTACTACTTATTAGCTTAATCAATTATTCATGTTTTTACTAGAAATATAAAAATTAATAATTAAGAGTATTAATTGAATATTAACATTAATTAAATTTTAATTAAAATTTAAAGAACATTAGTTTGAAGGAGCATCAAATTATTTATCTACCCAAGACACAGTCTTCTTGAGGTCTGAGTTGGAAGTGTCTCCTGGAAGAAATGTGAATCAGACGGGAAAAAGCTGACTTTAAATTCTGGAAGTCCTTGGACAATCATAGTCTCAGGCAATCGGATTTTTACCCCATGTCTTAGGACAAGGCACCCGACCAAAGGCACCTTTATCACAGTGAGGAGATGCAGGCTGAGGGCGGCCGCCACGTGCAGACAGACTGGGAAGGGTGCTCGGGAAGGCTGGTCCAGACTGTTGGAGCAAGTTGGCGTGAGATGGTGCCAGTCTGGCCAAAAGGTGGTTTAACTTTAATAAGATAATCAGACACATTTAGAAGATAAATTAACCCTGGTTTGTGACTGGCCAGGTAATAGACAATTTTGAGAAGACTCAGGTGATAAGGATGAAAGAACAGGTGAACAGTGGCACCATCACCAAACAAGGAATTTGAAGCAGAAGCTCATTGGAGGGTTAAAAAGGGTGTGTTGATGTGGGAGACTTAGACACTTGAAGACATGGGTTAAATTCACATGTAGCTATGGAAAGGCCATGTCAGAGAAGGCCCTCTCTGCCCCCATTGGGTGTTTGTAAAGGTACAGACCACACAAATTGAGATGGCCACGTCAGCCTCCTTCACGGCGTACAGTGAAGGAATGGCCTCTGAACATACATTATTTTCAGCTTCCTTAGGTCATTCACATATGGATCCTAATACCTACTTCTGTCACATCTTGAATATACAAAGCAATAAAAGGTATGGAATTGCAAAGGCAAGCCCAAGTAATTTTCCCTCTTTATCTCTACATATTTCTTCTGAACTGAGGTAAAATATCCCACATGTAAAACAATCGTTTTTCTTTGCTGAGCAACAGATTTATTATTTATTTACTAAAAACATGTTTAGCACAAAGATATGTTATGTAGAAAGATAAAGTGTAACACTTTCAGATTTCACTGATTTTTGAAAATGACATTTCTCAAGTGGTAGAACTATATAAACACAGACATGAAAACCACCATTACATTTTTAAATAATTGGCAAGCACACTTGGATTAATAAAAATAAAATTAAACTGGTAACTTTGGAAACACAGCATTCTGTGAGATGTGTACATGTTTCTTCAGAAAAAATTTACATGTTTGTTCCAAATCATATTTATCTATGGGAGTAATATGAATTTAATACATATTTAAACCCAATTGTGTTGAGAGGATACACAACAACCTTAGGCATCAGATCAGGAAAAAACTGAGCTCTTAAGAAGGACAAGTATTCTTACTGATAACCATTTGGCTAAAAGTTAACTCTCAGAACCATCAAAGCAACCTTATTAATTGGGTTAACAAAGACTGAAGTTAGAGGTGATCAAATTTCCAGTTGCCTTATGTTACTATCATTATCTTAAAATTTTTGAGTCCAGCTTTTCATTATATGTAAATAAGATTCACTTCTTTCCATCTATGCAATGACCCTTCAAAAGGCAAGTACTTAGAATATAAAAGAATAAAGAAAACAATAACAAAAGGACCAATATGTGTAGACAGACAAATTAATAACATAATTTAACTCAACTAGTATTTATTATTATTAGTCATTCTACCAGAGGTTTAAAAGACAGAGGAAGGCACAAGGGCCGACGTCCCTGAACTTAAAATCTATGCAGGGAAACAATAAGTTCTGAGTATGTGATTTAAATACAAAAAATAAAATTTCTAGGTAAAACAATAGTGCAACATTGTCAGAGTAAATGCCAAAATGCTGAGAAAAGCTGGTGTCATCAAAACAGGCTCTGAAGAGAAAGTACAGTCATGCTCTAAGGGAGGTGTAGGGTTTGGCACAGAGGTCCCAGAGAGACGAACAGCATGTGATAACTTCAGTGAGAATGGGCAGGTTGTTGTCAAGCCAGGAATAACTCAGAGCAGATCTACAGAGAGGGGAAATTGGCAAGGTGGGCAAGTCAATAGAGAGCCTTGAATATAAGGCTGAGGCATCAGAATCAGATGGAAGATCTAATAAGGAGCCATGGTAGGTTTTTAAATAGGAAAGTAGCTTCAAAAATATTCAGACACTATATCTCCATTAAGTTAAAACAACCTCTTAGGTTTAATAAAAATTTGATTGAACTCATGTTTGCATGCACAGGGTTGACCTGGCTTTCACTCTGGAGGCACGGTGATTGACATGACATGGTTTATATATTTTATGATGAAAAACTGGGTTTGAAAAATTACCTGGTAATCTAACAATCTCACTTTTTAATAAACCTACATGAAAAGGCATTTATAGTTGACTATGTGGAAAATGATTAAAAAGGTGGTTCCCAAAAATTTATTCCCAAATGATTAAATAAATAAATTCACATAGTGTTGTGGATGAAATTGTGTCCTCCCAAATTCCTATGTTGAAGCCCTAACCCCAGTGTGATAGTTGCTGGAGGTGGAGCCTTTGGGTGGTAATTAGGCTGAGATGAAGTCACGAGGGTGGGGCCCTCAGGATGGCATCAGTGCCCTTACAAGGAGAGACACCAGAGAGCTTCCTCTCTACCATGTGAGAAAACCATGAGAAGGTGGACATTTGTTTCAACCATACAGTCTATGGTATTTAGTTTTGGCAGCTGGCATTGACTAATACCTACAGGGTCATTATAAACAACCTTAGACATTTCACTGATCCTTGTCTCCACATCATGCCCTACATTTTTCTTGGCCTTTCCTTACACCCAGGAGAACCATGGAGAATTTTACAGAATGTTTACAGAATTTTAGTTAGCATCTGTGAGATGCTCTACATATGTTACTTAATTTAACCCTGGTAAGAATATGTGACACCATGACCTATGGGAAATATTTCAAGATAATTTTATTGAAAAAAAGTGATAGAAAATGTACACATTCTATTATCCACAATTAGAAGTCTTCTAAATAGTATACATATATAACTAATTTATATCTGGTAACCACAGTGGACAATGAAAATAAAACACTCCTTGATAAATTTTCTTAAGGATAATCAATAATTTATTTATCTTTTATTGTCACAATTATCACAATTATTTAGCTACATGACCAATGTCACTACATATCACAGGAAGATTGTCCACCTACACTTGACTGAGACAAAGACAATGGCCATTCATGTGTTAAATGTACAATGGGATGTTAAAAAGAGGTGGCTTTATGTATAAGACAAGATGTGGTACATAATTTATTAACACACTTGATTTAATACACATTATGCCAAGAAGCAAGCATAGAAAGGTTTTGGCATTGATTTGTTATTAAAGTAGAAAATAAGTAAATTAGAGAAATAAATCCAGATCTTAACTTACAATAGATACATTAAAATAGGAAATTAATTGGCTCCTCAGAACTTTTGTTCAAGTTTTTTTTGTTTTCTTTCCTTTTGTTTGTTTTTATATATAAATGAGTAATATGAATATATCACAAGTTAAAGAAAGTCCTCAGTCAAAAAGAAGGTACCAGTATATGAAAAACAAATTAAAAATTACCAGGTATTTTTGCTTACAAAAAATTTAAACTATAAAGAGTCAGAAAATATATATAAAAACGCCACATTGAACGAGGCAATCATACTCTACCCAAACTGGTAGCACCCTCTTAAAATCAGTTGCGTTCCATTCACTCGGTCATACAGTGGTGACTGACAAAAAGGCATTATGAACTCGTGTGCCATCAGGAGACTTGGCCCCGTGGGTCATCAGTTCTTGGATTGTCATCCAGTTGTCCAAAATTTTCTTGTTTCTTTTCTTCATCATCTTTTTGTGACTCAGTTCTATGATGTTGATCTCCTTCTTGCCCTCGCTGCCGCTCTGAGGACTCTCCTTGAGACACTCTAACCGGCTCCGCATCATGAACTCCCGGCGCCGACGCTGCTCTTTGGCCCGAACCAGGTGTTGCTTTCTCTCCTCTTTGCTCCAGTAGCGCCCCATTTTCATCTCACTCATGGTGTCATCGTCTGTCGTCATGCCACTCCGCTCCTCCTTGATCTTTAAGGCACGTTCCTTCAGAATCCGGTCTCGCACTGGTCTCTTTGTGATGTAGCGGGTCCCATCGCTCCTAATTTTCACCTTCCATTCCATCTTGGGCTCTGAACACTTCTGGGACTCCTTGCACATGCTCACCAAACTCAGCTGACTCTGAGCGTATTCCACGGCAGACTTCTGTTGAATTAACTGCATGTAGCTTTGATAATGCCGGGCATGTGCTGGGATGTTTGCATACCTATATGAGGAGCTGTGGTAAGGAGAGAGGTAAGGGATGTGTTCGCTGCTTGTCTTCTCTTGATCAGAAAGCTTGTTGCTTTCTAAAATCTTCTCCTTGCCTTCAACGTCACAACCTTGCTCAGTGTTTTTGGCTTTGGTGGAGGTCGACTCTTTACTGCTCTGTCCAGAAGAGGACTGATGGTCTGCAATTGTGCTTCTCAGATTTTTCTTGTTGGTGAGGTTGATCATTCTTGGAAGGGAGCTGTCAGGGGAGCGGTCCACAGTGAGTGGGGTGCTTCTGCAGCTTTCGGCTGTGTTGTAAGCACTAGAACTGTCCTTATCTGACCTTTCTGGGTGTTCAATGATGTCATCTAATTTTCCCCTTTGCGTATCAATGCTGGTGTTATAATTTCGGAATCCTCCATCGTGCAATGCCCAGATGTCTCCATACTGCTCTGTTACCTTATGCAGCCTGTGAGCCTGCATGATATTCTGACACTCAAGTTCAATGTTTCTTAGCTCTTCATTCAGCAGCTGTAGTTCATGCTCCACTCCTTCTTGTTCCCCTTGGTTGCATTCTATTGTGCTGCTTGAGTAATACAGGTCACACTCTCCATGATTTCGAATCTTGCATTTGAGCTCCAAGAGCTGCTGGAATCGTTCACACTCCTCATCTTGGTTGCCAGGGCAGTCGGAATCAATGTACTCACCTGACACAAAGCTCTCATTGCACTGAAGTTCAACACTCCCCAGAGTGTCTTGGCTCTGCCCCAGCTCTCTCTTGCTCTTCAAGCATGCGCTGTTGGGATCCTCAGCTGCGTTCTCTTGCTCTGAGCTCTCATCGTTCCGCAGGCTTTCGTCTGTGCGTCCCACCCCGCTGTCCTTCTCGTGGTTGTTAGACGAGGATGTGGCTGTGTCTGTTGTGCCTTCTTCTTCTTCTTGCTTTTTTGGCTAAGAAAATAATGTCGAGGGAACAAAGAAAACACCAATTGTTGAAAACACTCACTGGAAAAAACAATGCTTCTTGGCAAGCATGCAGGTCCTAGAAAGCTGCTGTCGTCTTAGTATCCACAATAATTTTAGAAAAAAAGGCAACTAGCTCCAGGCAGCTTTTTACAATGAATTAAAGAAAACGAAAGTTGCTTGAATGTGGCTGTGTTATTCACTTGAGGGTAAATATAACAGGACACAGTTTAATAAGTGATCCTTGTCTTAAGGCCTTCTCTTACTTGGGAAACTTGTGCATGAACGTGTGTAAAGGAGGTGACTTTATGAGTTTCTGAGGTGATAACAAACAAGAGAACAAGTATGACAGGATGTCTATGGTTTTGAGCAACATGAAGTCCTGGAGCTCAGAAACCGCATCAGGTTGTTATTATTTTTTTCCCTGAACTTTAATTTTAGGGAAAATTTTATTGATCTAGTAATACACTGATAATGGTTAGACAAACATCACAACATTTCAGGAATAGGGGCATATTGGAGCCTGGGACCTTCCATCTATAGGTGAGGAATCTTAATCTCAGGTGAATTTAGCTCATTAGTGACAGAGAGGGGTAGAGAGGGCCAGGGCCACCTCCAGCGTCCAGGATGCCATATTCCCATACACGCATGCTCTGACCTCAGTGCATCTTCATGTGGCTCAAAATCATGTGGCTCAAAAGCAAGCGGAGTGTCTTAGGGCTCATTTGGGGGTACTGAAAATATTTTCTCTCTAAAGCAGTAATTTCCTTGAAAGGTTTTAGTGTACTGATAATAAGTTAACAGTTCCCATGGAAGTCTGAGCCACACTGATTGCCAGACATAGGCAGAGTATCAAAAATATATTTTGACATATATGTATATGTCAAATATATTTTATTTATATGTATGTAGACTTTCCTGGTAATTTTTGGCTTTCATGCAGAACAATGAACTGTCACTGCCCTACGAAGATGCATATTTAGTTCTTTCTCTGTGAATAGGGGAAGGTCCTTTTTCCCCCCTTACCCCCTTTATAGTTTTCTACCTGGTAGTTTCTAGACTATATTTTCCTTATGTCTCAGTTTTTTTCTCTAGCAGGCATATTTACATAATTAAGCCTGTTCATGTTAAAGAAGGACAGAATGGGTGATAAGAGGTATTCTAGGACAGGTCTGAAAGGGTCTCTCCAGATAATTCCTTTCTTCCACAGAAGTAATGACAGAACAAAGTGTAACAAATGGAGAGGGGAGGATGTGGCCACGTATCATGTTACTCTAGGATTCTCCATCTTTCCCTAAAGTACTTTTCTTCATTTGTTAAAAACATACTAAGGTTGATTTTAGGTGTCTTATGGATAAAATAAATGTTATAATTAAGTATAATTGTAACTAACAATGGAAAGCTTATTACGTCCCTATGAACTTATAATATTAAATGGGCTGGTATCTGCCCACATGCCATAAAGCCCAGAGGATATTACTGATACTGCATATTGGAGTCTCTGTGCCACGTTATTTACATTTATATCTTTCTACATCCACTAAGAAGCTGAAAACCCCCACTAGAAACCTAGTTTTTGTTTTTCCCACATGCAGTGTAAGGGATGCAGACAAATCACGCCATGGGAGATGCTACACCATGTGTCTGAGCAGCCCTGGGACCAAGGGTGCTGTGGGAAGTGAAATGTCCACATGGTTGTATATTTTCATTCTTAAATATGGATATGCATTTGGAATTCAGTTTCCCTTCCTTTCATCACTGGTTTATGAACAAATGTGAAAGTAAAAGTTTTCTATCTCAAACCTGGCGTTTCCAGTTTCTAAGGTAATGCGACTCTATCATTTATCATTTCCCTACAGAATTATTATGGTGGCAGGCAATGCTTCTACTGAGACATTTCTAATGTAGTGATACTGTTTATAAGGGCAAAGGACTTTTAAAGGTTTCTATACTTCTCATCATTATTTTAGTCTCATGGCGAAGAAAAATTTTTATGCCATAAAAAATCTAACCTCAGGGACATTTAGCATTACCCCCAAAGACCTAGCATTTGTATCATCTCATGAGGAGGCAGCATCTGACACTGCACAGCTTCACCTGGACAGGAGTTCCCCCTTCTTTCTTTATTCCAACATCCTCTTGTCAGTTCTGCATCAGGTCACATTTTGTATCTAAGAGAGAAAAAGCCTGGAGCAAGGTCTTTCTTGCTTGTAACCAGAAGCTGCCACCACAAAATATCTTTATCTGTGGCCAGTGTTGCAGTCATACATAAAGATTTCAATCTGTCCTCTATCGAAAAGCCATCATACAGCAGCAGCATTGCTTTTGAGCTTGAACTACTGTTTGTAATGTGGCTAATGAGCATCCATGATCAGTATAGAGTGTATAGCATACATGGCTACATGGACCCTGTAGTTTACAATCCAATGATTTATTTCATATACGGACGTGTGTGGATACACACACACATCTCTGTTATGGGATGCTAGCATGTCAATATATTTCATCATTCAGCTTGGTAAAGTAACGGGATGTTTGTGTTCTTTGTTTCTAAGCCTAACTGTCAGGATTTAAAAAAATGATCTTTTGGGATGTGTTAAGAATTAATGTTGAGAATAGGGTGATAATTAAACAAATTAGTAAACTGACAGCAGAAGTGTTAATAGAATTATATCTGGCAGATGAATCTCATGAATCTTATATAAACAAAATCTATGATATATTGATCTGATTTGTATCCAGTAGGAAAACAACAACAAAAATGAAAAGACCTGGTTTGCTGCAAAGCACAGTGTGAGCTTTTACTGGTTATGCATTAATTAAGGGCAGAACTTTGCTCATTTTTCTTTGTATTCTCAGGATCAAGTGTGGTGCCGGGAACACTTTGGGTGCTCAGAGTTTTTTGTTGGAAAAATATGCGATCTTATGGCAAGACATCTTCAATAATATCTAGCAGAACTGCTCCTATTTTTAGTACAAAGTTGTAATCATGATATGAAACACATAAATAAGATTACTGGCTTACATCATGTCACCAACTTCCCTTAGTTTCCTAAATATTCAAATACATACATTGATTCCAAAACATAAAATGACTGTTTAGGGGAGAGGCTCCGTTATGAGTTATATTTGTCTCCAGCTGGCATGCTAAGAGGCAACGTGCATTTTTACTATCAAATTTCTGAACTAGGTTGAGCAGTATCTGGGTCAGCATTTGAATATAACTGTGCTCCATCAACAATGGTCCCTAAGCTTCTCAAACTAGAAATATTCTTAATAGAGTAAAATTGTATTGACTCCCTCTGCTTCATTTGAGATTATCATTTGCTCTAAAAAATTACCATTACAGAGATGTTTGATTAAATTCTTTGATTTTGTTTTTTTTCTTTTTACTCCATTTATGGTTATGCATTAAAAAAGAGAACCAGCAACATTTCAAACGATGTAGTTCAAATTGTGGGCCCTACCTGCTCCACCTCATTGGCGGTGTGCTGCATTGCTTCATTATGTTGTTCTTCCAACATCTCCAAGTTTAACTCCTCTAAGAATTCATTCCTTTCATCTTCCAGCCAGCCTTCATCCAGCTGCAAAAGAATACATTAGTGCATTAGTTTAGGTTAGTGGGGACCTGTGCTGAAACAGGGGAGACTTAAATGGCGACAGCTGACCAGTTCCTTTTATCATAATGATTCTCTTTAGAATACCAGCCTCTGTTAGTTCACCTCTCAGAAGGAAGAAAAGGCGTTAAAAAAAAGTTGGACTCTTATGCCTTTTATCCTTTCCTGAAACAGAGCTACAGATTTTTTCTCATAACCCAGTAGATCTCACGGCACGGAGCATTACCGCCTTTCACAGTGTATGAAAGGTGTACTCTGTAATCCACAGCTGTCACACTCCCTCCCTCCGAGAGTCCCCATGTTAATGAAATGCAGTGGTACACAAGGCGCTATGAGAAGACAGGGCTTTTTTCCTTAACAACGACCCCCAGTGTGACTGCACACAAAGTGCCATCCCCACACACGGACTCTGCCATCACCCTGCTTTTTGATTTCTCAGTGGATGGCTTTCAAGTTAGCAAGATGGCAGCTTGCCACAAATACAGGCATCATTTATGCTATCTGAAAAAAAATTCGAAGTTATTCTCAACACCACATTTAAAAAAAGTGATGCCCTGTCATGTTTATTTTGATTCGTTTTCCAGGCTCAATTCCAAATGCTGTGTTTAAGGGTGTGGGAGTGGCGTGGAGCTGCAGGTTGTGTTTGTGGGTGCTGAAGGCAAGTATCCTTGGGGAGTCTCCCACAAATGAAACCGAATGCATTCCGTTGGCTTCTCAGTGCAGAGTGAAGTGGAGAACTGGCAGTTACCTTGCTCATATGATGAGTGTTGACAGCCAACACAGATAATTTTTCTCCAAGTGGATTTGGGAGCTGGGTTATGTAAATTAGCTCTCGGCACTTACTAAATTAATGGAATTATTGTCAGATTTCTGCTTTTTCTGTGTTATAGAGACACAGCAGCTTTCTAGTGAGCCCAAACTGACAATAGTTTGAGGTGCTTTCATCGTTAAACAAATGGGCAAAATCACCTTTTAAAGAGAAGTGAATCTAAAACTTAAAAACAAATCTAACAGAAAGACATTAAACTGTACCAGAAGAGACATTCTGGTATGTGTATCATATTCATTAACATGCAGGCAGTCATAGGTTTCTTGATATTTATTAAAGGCTATCTAGAACTAAAATTACCTCAAATTTTACTGGGGCCAAAAGCCTGAACATATTTATTTATCTCATTTGTCTTAATGTAGCCTTAATAACTTGATCAAGTTCCACCCCACTGACTTTGATATGCAGATGAACTGTGAAAATGAAGCTGACTAAAAATTAAAAATGCAGTCCAATTTATAATTGTCCAAATTTTACTTCCTTTAATCCCTTTTAAGATTCATGAAGCTGCAAATGCTAGACTCCAAAAGAAATAGCTTAGAACTAAAAGTGTTTACTTTTTATAGGCACACCAAGGAGTATTTCTTAAAACAGGTCAAAACAAAATATTTGCTGACACTGACGCAGAAAATGATGGAACAAAGTCTTCTGAAATTTAAATGGAGATGTAGGAAAGGTAAGGAGACCATGGGGTTGAAATGCCTGGTTCCCTATAACTCTTTTCTTACTAACTCACCCCGCACATCCCTGAGTCGCCCTCTGTAGCCAGTGTTCTGATTAGCCTTTCCTCCGAGCTGGAGGTATGCACAGCACTGTGAGAGGAGGTTCTTCTCACTTCCTTTCCCCGTCCCTTTCCACCTAGATGTGTGTTCATGGGAGCCTGAGTCTAGTGCTGTGGCAGAGACAGAGATACCCCTTGAGCTGAGCTGCAGGAGAGGGAGGACTGTCATTATAATGCAGGGGGACCTGTCTGCAGGAGTGGATCACACACCGGCATTTCAGAGAAAGAAACAACCTGTGCTGTCTCAAAAGTAGTGATTACAAGTTCTCATTGAGAGCCCTCTCTGTCCCTATGTCCCAAGGGGAAGAGGAGAGAATAGCAATATCGTTAATGGTTTCTGAGGAAGAAAATGGGCAGAAAATGAAAGTTGACAGGGAATGAGAGAAATGAGTTATTTAAAAATATTGCACAGTTGCACAATATTGCCCCTAGCAACTCTATAGATCATTTCCAAGGATGTAGAGAATATTCGAAACATTAACAAAAGTGGCTCAAAAAAGCACTCAAAGAACTTCCACATTCTCCCTGAATCAAATATACAGGCAAAAAATGTAGTAGTAAGATATATTAAAATTGATGAAAAATATGGGTGATATAAAGACAAGGGGTTTTTTTTTTGGTCTTTTTTAAAATGTCACTTGCTAGCATGTACTGCTTAAGTTACATTTCTAAAGTATGGTGTTAAAATGCATTTTCTTTCTTTATTTTTCTAAATATCTGATTTTTTCTGAAGGCAATTAGCTTCATTCCTGTGTGTGAAAGCCAAGGGGCTTCTGGAGCATGGGACTCATGCAGATTCTGATTTCGACAGACAGAACAGTATCCCGCAGAGTCAGGTGACCATTCTTTATCAACTGTGGAAAGGAAATCTTATTTGAAAATTCATCCTTCAACCCTCATTCCTTTGGGTCAGGAGTGTAGTCAGATACGTGAAAATGCCACTGGGTCTACCCAGCATCTGTGTTCTAAGACTGACAAGAGCTGGTCTTACATCACTAATTCCTGTTCTTTCCAAAGCCCACTATAGCTATGTGGGAAGGAAGTGCTTTAATTCTAAGTTAATGAGGTTTTCTGGCAGCTACCTGGAAAGGGCAGGGAAACTACATTATAACATTGAGATACCTTTTCTACAACAGAGATGACTCTTGGGTTCTCTTTAATTTACCATGATTTTCATTAATATGTGTTTGGCCTCATCATTCTGTTCTTTTTCAAGAAAAACAGGATTAGTGAGATAACCTGGTTTGTGACATTTCCAGATAATTACTATAATTCCATATGCATTTTAAAAATTCACCCCCAAACAGGCAGTCCAGACGGTGGTGTGGGCTCCCTTCCCCACCCCTAAGACCGCAGGTGTGCAGCTTTACTCTGCCCTGGGCTATGGCAAGCTTTATGGGAAGCATTTAGAATGGTCAAGGGCATAAAGGAAATATATGCGGAAGGGGTGATCTTTTTCAACCACTATATTCAAGTCAGGATTCGGTCTGACACTGAAATATACTTACTCAATGTAATTTATAGCAAGCATGTAGTTACTGAGTCTGAAAAATATCAGATCAATAACCTAGGAGACAAATGGTGATATAACCAAGTTCACTCTGACTACTGACAGATGGATAGAATGGTGACAGTGTAATGTCCTTTCTGCATTGTGGTGGGTATAAAAGGATATAAAAGGAAGGACTGATAGTACATTTTGTCCACCATTACCTCTCCTTTACTTTCATGATATCTCCCTCTGTGAAGATATAAAAAAAATCCCTTTAGAAGCTATCAGTTTGTTTTGAGCCAGACAGATGTTATTCTCACACTAAATTTGGAAAAAAAATTCATTTACTATACATGGAACCACATCATGCTATGAAAGGCATTTTATTTAATAAAGTTATCCTAAAAAGATTTAAGTTGATAGTTAGATATGCTAATGTTTCTCTCATTAGAGATTCTTTTAAGATACCTTAATATGCCAATTAAGTATTTTTAGATGGAAACTTACAGCAAGGATCCACATAGAATGAAAAATCAAGTGGAGTCAACCATTTTTTCATTTATGAATTCATTTAAATAATTGGTGAGTGGAAGGGGAAAATAGTGATTCAATTTTATGTTTTTCTTTTTTAAAAAGATGTTTAACTGTCATTCGGTGGAGCAATACAAGGGAGTTTTAAGTTAGAATTATTTTTAGTAGATTGGTAAGTTAGAAAAGATGGTCAATTATATTTTGTATCCTTGGTTTTGCAAATACCCTGGTCCTGATTTGGTATAGAATAGCAGAGAGCAGCCAGAAATTCGGTTTGGAGAATTTCCGGTCTCTGTTCTGACCTGCATCTCTGGCCTCGCAACAAGCAGCACGATTCTCTTGCACTCATCGCTGGAGAGCAATGCCACGGCTTCTTCTCGATTCTGGACATCCTCGCCATTTATCTAGAAAACAAATGAAAATGGCACATTAGTTTCCATTTCCACAATGCTGAACACAACAAATGGCAAATATCAGCCCATTTATGGTAAATGTATGGACAATGAAGCTCACACAATGGGCTCATCTTCAGCCCCTCAGTGGTAAGTGCCTTCACTCAATTACGCGCTTACTATAAGCGCCATATCGATCCCTGAAGGATGGCGGACATCAGAGGAAGCAGTTATGTTCATAAATGTCCAACCCGCGCCCTGGCAACATACATCTAGCAACACAATTAACCAGCCCCTGACAGGTGACGTTCATCTTTCTCTGCTCAGAGTAATGGAAGTGTCACTCTGAGATAATAGTGCTGGGGGAAGCAGTGTGGCAATACCACAACTGAAATTCGTCATTCTGCATGCTCGCTGCGAGCCAATTAGAGAGCTGTGGTATCATCTCTCACCAGGCAACCCTCCCAGGCCACTGCTGATCGCATTTTCATTGAATCATTTCCTATCTGTGTGTGGGTCTGACTCAGTTGTCCCAAATCATTTTCAGAATATCTTTCAGTGCTTAACTAATCGAAAGAGGGAATACTTCGTCAGTCACATCCTCATCAATACTTCAGTTGTATAAAATTTATTCTTATCCTAAATAATAAAACTAAGGCAGTATCTTAGGTCTCATCTCTTAACTGTACTTCAATTTTTAAAAAATTAACATAGAGTAACATTAGCTTTTCATAAGGATGCTTAGTGAAAGAAATCAAGCTTGAGTAAACTTTTGATTAAAAAGAAAAGATTCCACTGGCATTTAAAATGTATCCTTTTTTTCTTTTTCTGATTTCTTACAGAGCACATAAGGTTTCTAAAGTTTGTATTTTAAACTACATTTTCATCTTTAAATGTATTTAGCTCTTAGTTAACCCATTTTTTCCTTTGGGTGTTTTAAATTTATTTTATTTCATTGATTCAAATCCATAACAATGAGATATTTCATCTACAACATATAATCAAAATATAGAAAGAGAAATTTCAGTTGAGGAGGTCAAGTAATTCTATCTAAAATAAGTATTAATTATGTCAATAAATTAAAATGTGTTGTACTGACCATTTTTTCAGTAATTAATCTAACATATTTCACTAAAGATTTCTGCTTAAAAACAAGAAGTAGACTACTGAGGTTTTCTTGTTATGGGTCTCTGGGATGGTGGCTGATACATGCTGACAGACATAAATATTGAAAGCAAGCCCAGGACATCTCAACTTGGAGCTGCAATAAATGATCCATATGCTTAGACTCTTATCATATATACTTAATACAAATAAAGCAGGCAATAACAGGCAAAAGGGGAAGCAAAATCACATTTTGTATTTTCTTACTTTAACCAAAAGAATATCACCTTAATTTTTCATTTGTATATGTGGGAAATTCTGCTTTTATAAGTTTCAAATTTGATTTCTTCTTTCTTTCTTTCTTGGTTGTAATTCACAAATAAAATTGATCAAATTAGAATATAGAAGCTATGATTCCAATATGGAGACTAATGACTGTGAAGCGTGTGCTGTTTTTTTTCATGAATATATATCTAAAAAGGTATTTTTGTGCTGAATCCAAGGACTTTTTTCCTCAAATAAAGATAAATTGATGGTGATGGATCCATTTCTCCTCTCCCACCCCTAACTAAGTGCAGTCTGAAAATTTTTACTTTTTTTGAACTTTAGGATTATGTCTATTTTATACTAATTCTCAGTAGTGTATCTGCAGTGCATCTATTTGTCTGTCATTCATGGACCTAATCACCTCCCCTCCACTACAGGCACCTTTTGACCCTAAGGGGGTTGAGCTGGATGATCTCACACAGCTTATCTTCCTCTTCCCCACTCAAAATAAAATTCTCACTGCTTTCTCCCCCTCGTCTCCATTTGTGTATATATATACTGCCATATTCTTCATATAACTTACCATTAATCTAAATACACTCCATTTATGTTAGCTTAATGCTTTTATGATGTTCCCTGTATTAAAGTGCAGGTCACAGTGTCTTTTTAACAGGATTGTTATAAGGATTAAATGAGTTAACACATATAAAGAGTTTAAATAAGTGCCTGGTATAAAGTGCTCAAGGCTGGCACACTTTACTGTTGATGCTGCTGTTGTTATTACTGTTATTATTTATATTTTAATCTTCAGTAAAGGAAAAACTATTTCCTTCTAAATAAAGCAAATCTATTAAAATTCATGCATAACAATTAAATCTATCATAGTAAACATGGTTCTGTTTTAAAAGCTTTCTCATATATACTTTTAACTCAAAGAGAGCCATCAAGAAACAATATGTTTATGTTTCCTTTTAAGTTATTTCACTGCTGGTATTCAACTCTCTCCTCTAAAAAGTCATAATGACCTACAGCTATGGTCCCCAGCCCTGGCAGTAGTCCTTGTTTTTCTGGGTGAGGTGGCAAGCAGATCATATATTTTAGAAATACTTTTACATCCAGAATCATATGTGGAGTGAAATAAATTTGTCACTGATATATGGCATGAAAGAGTGATTTATTGTTTCTTTTTCAAAACAAAGCATATTTCAGCCAAAGTCTGGTAGATCTTGTCCTCAGGACTTTAGTCTGATACTCGAACTGATTCGGAGGCAGGAAATGCAGCCATGGGTTTTAGCAGAAATGCTTCTCAAGGAATGAAAAGATATGAGGGATGGAATTAAATAGAGCTGCCCCCCTTCCTTTGCTCTTGCTCCTTAATGACAACTTGTAGGTATGGGACTGAATGTGGGAAAGTGGCTGGCTGTGCCTGGGACACTGGTACACAAAAGGGGCAGCACCCAGAAACAAGGGTGGGAGACAAGGAGTTGGGCGGTATCAGTGCAACTTAATGAAATACTTTCCTTTCCGAAAGGAGAGAGGGAGGCCCTGTACAGATAGATCTGTTGGTTAGAGCATCCTCCCAATAAGCCAAGGTTATGACCCCTGGTCAGGGCATCTGCTAGAGTCAACTAATGAATGCATAAATAAGTGGAACAACAAATCAATGTTTCTCTCTCTTGCCCCCAAATCAATACATAAAAAATAAAAATAAAAAAGAGAGGGGAAGGGAACCAGGAGAAGGCAACTCGTAACTTCTGTTATAAATGAGGAAAAGCTTTGCTAGATAATATGTCTGTCTCATTTTCCGTGGGTGGCTGTGTACAATATCAGTTTCAAGGTAGATATTGCCTTGGCCCAGAAGAGATCTGTGGCAATTACAAAGATAAATCAGTTAAAATTTCACTTTGGGCCCAATTTCCTGTATATGCGTGTGCGTGTGTGTGTGTGTGTGTGTGTGTGTGTGTAAAATGCTAAAATCCTAGAAATGGTTTAATTTAGCTTGTTTTTTTGTTTGAATATACCAATTTTTAGTTGTCCCATACTAGTATATCAAGGCAAGTGGGCAACTAAAATTGTAGGTGTCCTGCTATTTATATGAAATTTATTATTTGAAAACACAATAATGTTAGGCAGAAGAGAAACAATTCATTTCAATGTATTTATATTTTAGGGTGTAGAGAAAGAAGGTGAATGAAGTATAAAAATGTAGAGATGCAAAAAAATCCCAGAAATCAGGTAAAACAGCTTATAAAAGGAAGAAGATAAGAAGAGCAGAACCAAATGCGGAGGACATGTTCATGTGTAGAAAAAGAGAAAGAGAGCTTGTTAGGAGGGAGTTTTTGCAGGGAGTTTTTTTTATTCCTTAGGAATACAATAGACTTGTTTTGGCCAACATGAAATTAGGCTGCTTACACAGAATATTAAATGGTTACTATCTCAAGGAGTAAATGAAAACACAGCACTCTCTCCTTTGGAAAGCTGATCATAGGTGCTATTTAATCCTTCCTGTCTGGTTCAGAAATGTCTTTATTTGGTGCTGCAATTTTGTGAGAGGACTTCTCCATATTAATTCCTGAGGAGACATCTCATACCACACATTTGTGGTAACAGCACAGCAGATAGAACTGTCAAGCCCATGCAGAGAAAAAACACATACGTGATAGCTAGAATATGTTCTCATCAAGTTGGGTCATGGTGTCTCTACTGCCTGATCCCTACCCTATATCCGTCTCCCATGCCGAGCTCAGTGTGTTTGGTGTCATTGGGTGAGAGCATTAAACAGGGCCACGCTATTCATTTGGAAAAATTTAGCTACCCAATGAGGGCAAGACCCTGGAAGTACTCTACTGAGGTCCTCAAGAACAGGAAATTAAAATCACAATGGCTCTAAAGAGATTCATTTAAATAAAAGCCCCAGGAAACTTGAAGGATAAGAAGTAAATCCTGCCTTTCTCTCACTGTCATCTCCCTGGGAAAGGAGTCATTAATTCTTCATTACAGGGTATCCCATAATCTCCTCCTCAGCCATATGGGGGCTATTTGTCTATGGGTACAATTTTGTCACAGTTTTATTTAATATAATTTCACTATCACCCTCCAGACCCTTTGTTTCTCCTGTGTGTGCAGACAGAATTGAATTCTAGGCTTTTTAATGTGACATGTATTTATTCATTAAGTGGGACATATTTGCCACTGAATATAAAGTGATCAGACAGACAACAGCACTTTATCAATTCTGCTGTTGTTTCTTCAGGGAACCAACTCCATTAAGAAATGCCATATTATCCAGCAAATATTTTATCTAAACACATTTCCTGCCCACAATATAGCCAAGAATAAAGTGTCAAAGCATGCAACATGCATGTGCAGAAACACATGTATTTATTTTTATCCAACTCTAGCCACAGAACTAATAGAGGTCATTTTAAAAGCTATGTCCATGACTCTGGCCATGGAAAAGCGGTTAGGTAAAAACTAGGGAGGGAGCCAGTGCGGGAGCAGAAGGTACGGGGTGCGGCATGGGGGTGGTGAGAGGAGGTGACAGCTGGAAACAGTAAGAGAACAATGACAAAATATACACCTGGCATATCACAAAATGTAGCCACCAAGGGTCATGTTATACAGGGCACAAAAACTTCCAGACCTTTTAGTCACTGAGCATTTTACTCTATTTATTCTAATGTTGTGTAATGATTGCTGGGCGTAACATGGACCCGCGTGTAAAAAAAAGTTACATTCTTTTTAGTGTACTTAGTTGAAGATGTTAACAAAGTGAACAATACATTTAAAATTATTTCCAAACAAAAAATTTAAAATATTTTTAAAGCTTTTGTTATCCAGATCATACATTAAAATGGTACCCTTATTTCTTGTTGAGGCAGCACAAATAAAGCTTTACTGCAGATTTTATTCATCTCTCCTATCACTCTCCCCACAGAACACCTTTGTTTCATTCATTCATTCATTCATTCATTCATTCATTCATTCACATGTTCATGAGAAAGACACTGGGGATATTGGAGTAACAAGACTAAGTCTTGGCTTCCTGAGTCACTCTCCTTCCTTTAATATGTCCAATGCCAGACGCAGCCCAGCTTGTTAACTATGGGCCCCCACTTAGGGAGTTCACTGAAGAAGAAATGATATATATTCTGGAAGTTTCCTGAAAACAAGAGGGACCATGAATGGTCACTAATCCATATTTTTATTATTTTAAAATTGGAGTCTTAGTAAAGGGTCTCTGATGAAACAGGAATTCCATGGCATCTAGCGAGAGGAAGGAAATGTATGCAGAAGTGGTGTGGTTCAGCGGGTGTCCCTCTGAAGGCAGGAAAGGCGACAAGCAGAAGGCTGGGCAGGATAACCCCACAGTACGTACCCAGTGTGGCGTGGATACACCTTTATCATGACAATGCCAATCGCATTTGTAATTATCTGTGTATGCAGCCATCTTCCTAATTGTACGGGGCTGTCCCCAGATGCTGGGAAGGTGTCTTGTCTGTTTCTGAAGCCCTGTTCTAGGTAGTGTATTGAATTCAAGTGTACTGAATTCAAAGAAATGTTCTTCAGGGCTCCATATCTAGTAAGAAGGAATGGGGCTATCGATCTGTCATAATGACTGAAAGTTTTGCAGAACGTTTTAACAGTTGATACTGCCCTTAGTTTGTCTGCGGGTCCTCCTTCCTGTTCTGCAGTTGGATCTGCAGTGTAACTCAACCCTCAAGGGCCTGTGTTCTTGTTTTGGGTTAATCTGGACACAGAAGCTGGGGAGCTGTGTGTCTCTCTGTAACCATTCTCCATGGGAAAGGATTCAGAAGGGACAGAGCAGGTCAAGGCAAGTTTAAAATAGAAACTTTGGCTTTCAAAGTTGGTACTGATTTGGCCCTGCATTTTTCCAGTTCTGCAACCCCCTCTATGACGTGCTTACCATCTCTCCTTCAGGTGAAATTCAGTCTGTCTCTATGTTTTCACATTTCCACATGGAGAAGAAAGCCTATTTCCTCCAGAACAACTCATCAGTATATAGTCTGAAGACATGGCTGTCTTCAGACTTCTAGACTTTCACATAGTAATGGAACATTGGGATTTGTCACCTGATTAATTCTGGAAAAGGCAGCAATGACTGCTGCTGATGCTGCTGGTAATAATAGCAATTAATGTTTATTACTTACTGTGCACTGTGCTAAGAATACCACATGCATAATTACATTTAACCTTTGCTACAATGTTTATTATTATATATGTTTGAATCCTTACCTGAGGATATATTTATGGATTTTAGAGACACAAGAAGGAAGAGAGACAGAGAGAAATAATTGATTTGTTACCTCCCATACTCGTCCTACTTGGGGATCGACTCACAACCTATGTACATGCCCTGACCAGGAAATCGAATCTACAGCCTTTAATGTACGGGACGACGCCCAACCAACTGAGCCACCTGGCCAGGGCTAGCATTACAATTTTTTAGATGAGGAAACAGGTTTACAATGAGAGGCTAAGTAATGTGCCCAAGTAAGTGTGGAGCTGGAAGTTGGAGTCAAGTTATCTGAGTTTAGAGATGATGTCTTAATCAGTAACTATTAGCTGATAATTCTGAATAAATGGCACTATTTTTACTAGAAAAAAATCCACATAATATCTTTTTTATTTTGTAGATGTTACTATCCAAAACAAAGACAGGTTCTTTTCTCTAACCTTTTATAAGCAACAAATAAAATTAAAACCGTTGGACACGTAGCAGGAAACTAAAGGAAATAACTACACCACCTACTTGCAAAATACGATCCCCCTCTCGAATTCGGCCGTCTTTGGCAGCGATGCTGTTTGGATCCACCTGCAACAGAGAGGACACACATCTCCAACTGCATCTGCGATATCCGTCTCCAAACTTAAAACATATGGTTTCAAAAATATTTCTAAAAACCTGGCTCAGGATTCTTTATTGATTTATAGAATGCATGTCAAATTTTTCTCTGTTGAAAAAGTCATGGACTCCAAAAATGTAACTTTTAGAATGAGGAAAAATACCATTAAAGAGGACTAGAGAACAACATGATTTGAAGACCATTTTTTTCTTTCCTCCCTCTCCTTCTTTCTGCTTTGCTTCCTTTATCCTTTCTTCTTTTTTGTATCCACTCGCTCATTTCTGTACCCCAACTGTCAGACACAGTCTTCAGCTGATATTAATACCTAGGATTCGCTGGACCAAGGAAATTTAGTTTCTACTACGGTGATTTTTAAATCCTGCCATAGCTGTCTTCGAAAAGCTGATAGCTATACTGTAAGTCTGTATTTATTAAAGGGATTTCTTTCAAATGGGCACATTAATTTATAAAGAGATTTCTAATCTATGTTGCTTAATTTTAAAAAATCCTACCCACATAGATTATTTCTAGACACTTCTTTATATATAGGGTAAGTACATTAACTAAATATTTTTGGAGTAAATAGATATTTAAGGTTCTATTAAGAGTTTACTAACATTGTAATGGGCTAAACTTGAGTGGTGACTTAGAGTTCCCTAGGGGTAATTCCATCTATCACATTTCACATGATGGCTTCTGACTATTTATTTGAGTTTATTTCACCAAAGCTTTTCTTTTTCAAGCAAAGTATTTCCCGTGTTACACGAAGTTAATCCATCCTATCCAGATGTCAGTTATTAATTGGTTTATTAGGTTGGTGCCACCTAATCAATGAGTCTTAAGTGATCAATCAAGAACAAAAGACACTGTAATTATATATAAGAGGTATAAGGAAAACATTCTTTCCAAGTGCATATGTTCCGTTCCTGTGGCTTCTTTACTATCCCTGAAAAGTAAAGTTCTAAAGCTGACATATTTAGATAGTAAATAGAGACTTACTAGAAGGAAGTGAGGGATGACTAATCAATTGCATCCTATTCAGAAGCCTTTCACATCTCACACTTTGTCTTTAGAACTGTAATCAAACTAATATTAAACTTCTACATTTGTACTTCTGCACATATTACAAAAGATAATTCTGCAGGTGTTTCTTTCTACTTCCTCACCATAATTGCAGGGATTATCATAGTTGTACATTTAAAAGAGGTATATAAACCAGACATTTTCTGTAGATTTTCTCATTACAAGAACCAGCCAGTAAATTCTTTGGTAAAGTGATAGAGTAATGTTTACATTTGTAGAGCTGTATAGTTTTCTAAGTGCGCTAATTACATTACCTTTTACGTATGTATTATAAACACCGCTACAAAAACAATGAGATAAGCATTGTCGTACTAAGTTTCTAAGTGAGGAAGCCAAAGCTCAGTAAGTCAGGTAATGTTTTCAAGAACGTGGCCAAGAAAACTTGAAAGAGCATTGAACAGCAATTAGTATCTGGTTTGTCTAAATCCTGCATATTTATATTTATATAAGCATATAAATATTTATATGCATATATAGAGGAGTTAGGTAAATATGCATGTACATATACATATATACATACATGTGTTTACAAAGTTATATAATTTTTAATCTTAAGTATATATAATTAAAAATATACCTTACCCTTTCTGATAAAAAGATTTTTTTGGGAGTTTTAAATAATCACCTATAATAATAAATTTTGCTTCCCATTTTTCAAAGTAATTAACACAGAGGGTGTTTCACATTTAAGCACCTCATTTTTTTTCAAAAGTAATGATGGGGTTGAATGAAAACAAACTAATAGATGATGCATTCCTTGAATACTTAAATTTATTAGTCCCGTCAGCAGAGTGAAATATGTGACTGTTGTGAATATCAGATTTAGAACAATTAGCCACTGCTATTGTTAACAGAACCAATAGAAGACATGGTAGAATGGAAGGACAAATGTTTGCTGATCAGAAACTTTGCCCCACCTCCTGCATACTTATGGGAATTTATTCAAATTTAGACAATGTCACTATTTTTGCTTTTTCTCCTTACTGGGATTTTGTGGTGAAAGCATCCACATTAAACAAGCTGATAATAATTTCGTTACGTGGGCAACATAATTTACTTTCCTAATTGAAAGTGACAAGTATTGGAACATGGCCAATTCTTCACATTCAAGCCTCCCAAGGATTTTTCTCATTGTGCAGTTGTTTTACTCCATTCCTCATAGTCTCCCTCCTCTCACCTGCCCTCCATGGCATTTCTTACCTCGCTGACATAAATGCCAGTGTCTTCTTCATCATCTGTTCGGTAACAGACGGTCAGACCCAGCTTCTCTTGACTGCTAACACGGCACAACTCAACCTCCTGAGAAAAACACACACACAATGACATTTATCTCAGAGAGAATTCCCACAGCAAAATGGAGAACTCTCTGGCACTCTGGGCTACCATGGGACATGTCCACAATTATTGCCCAATATTTGAAATAAAGTTGTTATCTAAATCACCAAAGTTTACCTCCAATGTTTTTTTACATATTCAAGCCAGTGTTTTAAATTGTGCTGTAAAGTTGAAAATGTGCAATTTTTCACATTAAATCATAAACTTAAAACTTCTTTGAACTCACACAATGAAGTATAAACAAAGTATGCATACAGCAAAAAGATGGAATCAATAAAATATTTGCAAATGTTTATAAAAATATTGAGAATCACTGTGCTTTTTATATTTTTATAAAACAAAACATAGTTCAAATAAAAACAGACTCAGTTGGATTCTACATTAATTCTTCTTTTGAGTTCTATACAACATGATAGTTAGCAAGTATTTTGTGTGGCATAGGTCAAGGTTTTCTATTATTTGGAGGAAGTTCTTGTCCTTGGGATAAAAATGGTTCATCCAGGCTGAAGGGAGAGACATCAGCAATCATGTGGGCAGAGGCAATGATTCAAAATGTAGCAGCAAATGAACAAGGAAATACGTTTATTGAAACACATGGCTAAGGGGCTTGAAATGTCAGTCCTTAGGTAATGTATGTTGAATCTATTTCCTGAATGGCATTCAGTAAAATAATAATAAATTTCAGTGTATTTCAGTTTTATATAATGAAATAGAATTATACAAGTACTACTCTCAGAAGCAGATGACTTTAGGATAAATTGCAAAATTCTAAGGACTAAAACACAAATTGGTACCCTCATCATGGAGAACTGGTTCCTACTGAATGGAGAATATAAGGCCATTTAGTAAATAATCAGATGAGAAAGGACAAAGTAAAATTAAATTGAAAGTGAAGTCTGGACCAAGTTTCCAGAACCCAGGCTCTGTGGGAATTACAAACTTGTCTGTCTTGCTTAATGCTCTTTCTCCAGGGTCTAGATCAGGGATTTGCTGAGGGTGGACACTCAGCAAATGCTCGTTGAAGGGCGATTGTTCCTATTTCAAAATATTTCCTAATGCTTGTAACTTTTTGTAAATAATTAAGTAGTTTTTCCTCTTTAATTGGAGGTAGTGTGTGTGTGTGTGTGTGTGTGTGTGTGTGTGTGTGTGTGTGTGTGAATAAAAAGATTTTGAAGGTCGATAATAATAAAGTATCCCCTTAACTATTTATAATCTCAAATAATTACCAGGACTAAACAAAGAAAAGTTTACTTTAAACAAGAAGACAACTACCAGGATACTCTGCTACATTTGAAGACGTGTCCTCCCTTTCAATATGACATTTCAGCAAAGTCTTTGTCTTTGAATAATAACCATTTGTTTTAATGACATACTAAAAACCATAGGTAAATCATTAGCATGGGTAGACTATGACAACCTCCAGTGACCGATAATTTCACAGCTAATATGAAATCAAATAAAATTTAAATCTTCTATCTTGAGGCATGTACCGCAAATTGGTGAAATACATGAAACTGTGAAGAATGATGACTTTCTAACTGGTGGGCAAAGACACTCTAAATTTCATTACAGTGGTTAAAAAGGGCACAGAGTATGCTAAAAAATTTTTTAAAAAGATGGAAAATCTTTTCACCTAAATATAAAATAGGAAAAAGTGACATGATCGGGCACCAGAAGCAGAAAGTAATACCAAGCTAGGATATTTTCAAAACTAGTAATAATTAATGCCTCCAGAGGGAAAGAACGCCTGGCTAAAACTGTAACATTAAGAAGGAATTACAGCAACAGAAGAGCTTCAATTACAGCAATGAAGTACACAGTTAAGGAGTAAAGAAGTTTGTGATTCCTAAGAGGCCTACAAGGAAACCTAAACACTCCATAAAGAGCTGGGCCTGGGACCTTTAAATTCAGGCAAATGAAGAGCGGCAGCCAGTGCTGAGCCCACTGACTTTTCAGTGTCCTTCCCAGGGCACAGGGGGATCTCCCTTCCCTGTGGGAAGGCGTTTCCAGAAAGGAGCATGCTTTTCGTGAATGTTTTCTCTACTTTTCCAGCGGTGTGCCCAGGCCTGGTGTTTGTACAGAAGATGCATATCACAATATTTTGCAATTAAATGGAGCTGATATGGGAACATAAAAAGGGCAGAATCTTCCTGTAAGACTTCAATACCACACATAAAAGCGTTTACCCATGAATCATGGGGGAAAGGAGATTAAGATCCTGAGGTCAAGATAACTTTTCAATATTGTCATTGTATTGGACCTAAGCCAACCCGTGGAACAGGCCTCAAATTTACCTACGGCATCATTACTTTCAATGTCTCCCTTTTAAAGATGCTCAACACCCTCATACTTCCTTTCAGCTTCCTGAAGTTCTGGAGGGCTGCCTATGTAGGTAACCAGAGGCAGTTCAGGTTTGCCACCTTACCTGTCTCCTAAAACAAATCTGGCTTTTGGCATGGTCTTCTATTCTCTTGAAAGGAACCCTTGAGATGCAAAGGTAACTGACAAATACATATTTCTTAGAGGGATCATTGCTAAAATTACTTAAAATGTGGGACACTGGTGCATACTAATAAAGACCGAAAATACGCAACTTTAATTCAAAAGACAAACTTTCTGGCAGCATGATTACCCGGCTGTGAAGGAGGTTTCAGGGAGGTTCCCCGAGGCCACAACCCAGGCCCCACGCCAGCCCCGAGTGTGCGCCTGTGTCTGTCCTCGTCTGAGACTGCCTCTGACATTACACATTTCGCAGTGGTGCCCAGAAGCATACATTTTAGAATCAAAGTTACTTTAATTCTGTGACAAAATAGCTTATAAGCAGCTACCTGTAGACCATTTTGTTTGTACGAGGCAGAGGTGGCTTTGTAAAGCCTCATTATCCGAAAGGAATTCTCCGGCACAGGTTTAATTTAGCATTCCCTTCACGCTGCACCTCAGCCTCTGACTTCTGAAGAAACAACCTCCTGGTAATAGAGAATGTTTTCCCTAACAACTTTCATACCTCTCCCTCTGTCACTCGGAAGCCGTTTGATGAAAAACATAAAAGTGAAATGCTACCTTCTGTACATTTCGTGCACGGAGACGATTCACGGGCTATACAAATCAAAGCTGAGCCGGCGCGGATGGCACTGCTCACCGCCCATAAGTCATTCGTGACTCGGGTGGAAGAATCGCTTCATAGATCTGATGAAACTACACTCATTTTGGCTTCAATGTGCTTTAGGATGCTATGTTCTGGGAATATGTATAAAGTCCCTTTAAAAAAATCAAATCATGGTATCTAATCCTGTGAGGAATTGATTATATGGAGATGGAGGGAAGAGTATAAGATTAAAGTTCATTAGTAAAGCTTGCTGTGAATCATTCTTCTAATCTTAGAATGACAAGAGTGAGAATTTTACATAAATCGGTTACACTGCAGTGCTGGAAAATTTATATATATTTAGTTTTTTACGATTGGGCCTGGGGAAAATCAAGGAAAAGAAAAGAGAAGAAAGTACATTTTGCTTTCTAGAAAGGACTCTCTCTTGGGGCTCGAAGCCTGCCATGATTTTTTAAGCAAATTGTTTCCAAACTCTGAAGAACTCTGAGGTCTAGACCCTAAAGGCTTTTCCCCTGAGTGAGAAAAGTCCATGGCTGTCAGTAACTACTCAAGTTTGAAGAGGAGACAGGATTTGACAGGATGGTCACTGATATTAATTAACAATCGTGGGAGAGAGGGGTCTGTGTGTCCATATTTTCTGTTTTATTTCATTCATTTTGCTGTTTTTTATTTCTCAGACAACATATGTAAGTTTAATATTAGTCGTACATTATTGCCTTCCATTTTGTGTTGTTGGTTAGTAAGTAGAGAAACACTATGCTTAGATGTTTCCACAACACATTTATTTAAAAATTAATTAAGCAGAAAATATGGAAATTTTCACCCCCACAAGTAAGAGAAGCCTAGATACTCTATTGTGAAAATATTGCTTCAATGTCATTCTCTTCTGGATAATGAAAACCACATGTAACACTTAGTAAGAAATAAATAATAAAACTTCTGGAATACCCAAATTGCTATTACAGCATTTCAGGCCATACGCCCCAACTCTAAACCCACATAACAAGTTGCTGCAGCTAATAATTCGGTCACTTTTCACAGAGACATTAGAGTGAAAGCAAAAGGAATGTGGCCGACGTCTTTGCACGAACATCCTGAACCCCAACCCCTGATTCGATGGCTTCTTTTTCAGTGACATGGTTATGAAATGTGGGCAGTGTTTAATCCCCAATTTCCTATTCTTACAGACCTTCTGGATTCTTTGGGAAATAAAGCCGTCACATTTGTTTATGACCTAGGTTGTCTGCTTCTCACTGTGGGCTCTGAATTGCCTTAGGAAGTCATAAATTACCCATTTTGAATGGATTTTTTTACCTTAGCAAAGATGAAAGAGTGATTTTGTTTATACTTTATAATTGGTGGAGGAAATAGATTCATGATGGCAGTAATCAATAATCGGTATTGTGAATGGTGGGCCAGGAACAGAAACTTAAATCCAGGTGAGTGTGCGAGACGATGCATCAGATTTCTATTGTTACTTCTGCTGCGCCAACCAGAGAATCAGGCCCATGGCCCGGAGACCTGTCCCTCCAAGAGCTTTTGCCCAGCCCTGCCCTGTCTAAGCCAAAGAACAAAAGCATGGGAGGAAACCAGGGAAACGCTTCTATTTATATCAGATAAAGGTCTTTTCTCTTTTGGTTATGTAGCTTTTGAGAAAACTGCAGTTGCTTTTAGGTGTTAGGATCATGTAGTTTACCTTTGTAAGAATCCAGAAATTCAGGTTTTTAAAAATATTTAACTGCTGCTAAGTTTTGAACGACCATTAAAATGATCATTTGTTAGCTTACAAATGGCACTGCTAAATATCCAGTCATTTGAGGCTGGATTTTGTGATTTATTTGTTAGCTCTTGGGTGGGT